CTTAACATTTTGACAGCATACATGTTAAACATGATTAACATAGATTCTTTAAATGTTGTCTGAATTAGGTTTCTTGGTGATCACCTTATCCTAGGCCAGGAGTAGTTCTTAAACTGAGAGCAGGCTTTAACCCAAAGCATTCTAGATTCATTGTACTGAGCGAGCAGCAAAATCACCTGTTATTGGGAGGACCTGACTTCAGTACAAATCAAGCTCCTGTTACAGCACTTTGAACACTAGCTGGAGTTTTAAAAATTATTTATTTACCTTTTTTTTTTAAAAGAAATTCAGAAGTGCAATGAATATGAATGTTATTACTTTTCATTGAAGTCAGAATTTTGCTTGCAATTGGAACAGTTACCTTTAACATTTGCAGGTATAGATGGCTTAAGACAGACTTTCCGAAGTAGCAAAGCTTATTTCTAACAGTGTGTGACTATTTTATTGACCTACTTATGTAAGTTGTTGTGCTGCTTAACATCCTGTACAGCAGATGCTGACAATATGTTCAATCAATCGATAGTGTCATGTCTTAGTGTAGAAAATCTTTCGTCAGAATATCAGGTTCACTGTTGCCTTAAAGGTCTAGCTGAATGTTGAAAATTAATCATTTGTGATTGAATTCAGTGTATGTAATGTTGGTTTTTTTAATGTTTTCAGTTGTTTTTACTAAGCGACTTCCTGTATTGCCAGAATTAGAATCTGTCAGATCTCAGTATGAGAGGCAGATTGTGAGAGACTGACTCGCTGTTGGAAGGAAATGTGGTTGTGGTGGGAAATGCTGTTACTGGGGACAGGCAAGGGAAACAAAACCACATGACTTTTCTGCTCCTGTCTTCACGGCCATCTCATCCCTCAAGGCCTACAGGTTCATTTTAAACCCTCAAAATCTGGACCCACCTTCGATGCTGTATATTCCCAATGCCTCCAGAAACACCTCCACTCCCTTTCCTCATCCCTCCCCCAGCTTGAGGACCTCTATTCTTATATATTCAATGCAGAATCCACACATTCAACAAATGACTCTTCTGCTTCATATCAGACATTTAAAAACCATAAGTTCGCAAGACTCTCCTCTACTCGCCTCCAGTCAGAGAACCCATTCACCATTCAAAATCCGCGCCCTATCTGTGCTACCTCAATGTCACATTTTCACATTTTCAGCTACTTGCGCGGCATATGCTTCAACCAATTGGTCAAGTGTGAAAGTCTCAGGAGTAGTTCTTAGTCCACTCAAGTGGGACTATGGTCAACGTTTCGAAACGTCAGCCTTCCTGCTCCTCTGATGCTGCTTGGCCTGCCGTGTTCATCCAGCTCTACACCTTGTTATTTCAGATTTCAGCATCTGCAGTTCCTACTATCTCTGGAATATGGTCAGTCAGGATGTGCAGTTGCACTAGGTGAAGGGCATCATCTGCTGTCATTCCAGAGGTTTGGCCATGGGCAGCAGGGTCCAGAATGCATTCCAGGGATTGGGGCACCTTTATATCAGAGGTTTGTATGTGTGTGTGTGGGGTAGTATCAAGACGTGATGGCACTTAATCTCATGGACTGAAGAAGATTATTAATGTTTGTGCAGCATTGCTGTATGTTTCTCCAGACATTGAAGCTGCGCTGACCTAGATGCTGTGGTCTCCTTTAGTCACTGGGAATGAAAATGGCCCTCCTCTCCACCACCCAGGTCTTTGTGCAAAGTGAATTACTCACTTACCTTTTTTTTTTAAGCAATATTGTTTGGAATTGCACTGCAAAAAATTGGGGCATTTCCTGCCTTGCAGCATTTGAAATGGTGCACAGGTGGATTTTAAATATGATACCTGCAATGTGACTGTGTTAAGATCCTGGCAAGGTTTTGTGCCTCAGAGTGCAAGGTTGGAATTGGGCAGGTAGGATGCATACTTAATGAGCTGAGCAGTGAAGAGTTGCTTGAGAAAAGTCTCTAGGGATCATGAAAGGAAACCTACTGGAATTGAAACAGAAATGTGGGATTATTGAGCTCAGTGACCAGTTTGGGTAACTTGGACAAGGAACACCTGTGTCCATAACTTGACTAGTACAAGCACTAGTGATGCAGTTTTAAGATCTGAGCTTGAGATGCAGGGGTGCATATGGGGAGGAATATTTTAATAGAGTAAACAGTAATGACCTGGAAGTTTCTGTTCACTAGGGTGGAAACAAAAATAATCAGTGATTTTAAAAGGAAATTGAATTGGTACTTGAAAGTAAATTGTAAGGCTTGGGGTTCAAGTGAAGTGGGAGTGATTCGGTTTCACTACAGAGAGCTGGTATGCAGTTTATGGACTCAGTTACCTTCTTCTGGGCTATTAATTGCCATAGGACTCAACAAATGTCTGTGAATGAATCTTCTGAGTGTATATAAGAGTAAAGGAACTTGATTCAAAAGGTGATCCACTTGGGGAGCCCTTTGACAAACCATCCTTGGATTTCCAGAAAGCATTGACAAGGCACCAACATAAGAACATGGAGCAGGCCGTCTGGCCCTTCGAGCCTGCTCCGCCATTCAATAAGATCATGGCTGATCTTTTCGTGGACTCGGATCCACTTACCCGCATTCTCACTGTATCCCTTAATTCCTTTATTGTTCAAAAGACTATTGTGCAAAGTAAAAGCACATGATGAAAGGGGAAATAGGGCCTTGAGGAGTGTAGTGGAACAGAAGGACCTTGGAGTACAGTTGCATGGTTCTCTGAAAGTGGAGTCACAGGTAGACAGCAGTGAAAGAAGGCTTTTGCACGCTGGCCTTCGTCAGTCAGGGCACTAAGTGTAGAAGTTGGGAGGCCGCACTTGGAATATTGTGTTCTGTTTTGGTCACCTTGCTATAAGAAGGATGTTATTAAACTGAAAATAATGCAGAAGAAATTTACAAGATTTACAAGGACTTGGGGACTGAGTTACAGTGAGAGGTTGGATAAGCTAGGACTTTTTTTCTTTAGAGCGTAGGAGACTGAGGGGGGGTGTTCTTATAGAAGTGTATAAGATCATGAGAGGCATGAATAGAGTGAATGCACTCGGTCTTTTCCCAGGGTTGGGGAACCGAGGACGACTGGGCATCAGTTTAAGGTAGGAGGGGAAAGAATAAATGGGAACCAGAAGGGCAACCTTTTACACAAAGTGGTACGCATATGGAATGAGCTGCCAGCGGAAGTGGTTGAGGTGGGTACATGAACAACATTTAAAGGCATCTGGATGAATGCATGGATAGGAAAGGTTTAGAAGGATATGGGCCAAGTGCAGGGAAATGAGATTAGCGTGGATGGATGTTTTAGTTGGCATGGACCCTTACGGGCCAAAGGGCCTGTCTCCATGCTGTAAGACTATTTGTACAGTAGAATTATAGAAGGTTGGCTTGCTGGTTTGCTAGCAAAAGACTGAGTATGAATAAATGTATCTATCTGTCTAGCAGGATTGATGAGTAGGATTCCACATGTTCTGAGGAAGGGTCACCCGACCCAAAATGTTAACTCTTTTCTCCTTAACAGATGCTGCCAGGCCTGCTGAGCTTTTCCAGCAACTTTGTTTTTGTTCCTGATTTACAGCATCTGCAGTTCTTCTTTTGGTTTTTATTTAGGATTCCACGTGTGTCTGCTTTGGCTTCCATATGTTACAATTCACAATGACTGAGGGGAGTGAATTATAGGTCACCACACATGACATCAAGATAGAAAAGCGTGTTGTGAAGTGGACATAAGATCGTTGACTGCAGGTCAATGTTGACAAGTTGATTCAGGGAGCAAAAATCTGCACAGCAAGTAATGAAGAATATGAATGAATGAATGCTATGCTTTCTTACAAGAGAACTCCAACATCAAAACAAGGCTTTTATGCTTCAGTAATACAGCGCATTGAGACCACATCTCAAATACAGTGTGCAGTTTTGGTCAAAAACAGAAGTAGCTGGAAAAGCTCAGCAAGTCTAGCAGCATCTGCGATGAAAAATCTGAGTTAACGTTTCTGGTCTGGTGACCCTTCCTCAGTTCTTCTACTTTTTATTTGTGCAGTTTTGGTCACTTAATTTAAAGAATGATGTAAATACATGGCAGGCAGATTAGAGCATGTTTTCTGGAATGATTGGCTTGTGATATGAGGAAAGGTTGAACAGAATAGCATTGTTTTCACTGGAGTTTAGAAGGGCAGAGGTGGCTTTGTTGAAGTGTGGACAATCCTGGAATTAGCAAAGATATTTCTACTTGTGGATGAATCCAGAAGGAACTCGTAAAAGTGGGGTGGCACTGTGGCTCTGGGTTAGCACTGCTGACTCCGTGTCAGGCACCTGGATTTGATTCCACCCTTGGGTTGACTGTCTGTGTGCAGTTTGCACATTCTAACCATGTCTGTGTTGGTTTCCTCCAGGTGCACCTCCCACAATTCAAAAATGTATAAGTTAGGTGGATTGGCCATGCTAAATGCAGGTTTGCAGGGATGTGGTTGGGGGAGGGTCTAGGTGGGAAGTTCTTCAGAGGGTCAGTGTACTCTCTGGGCCAAATGGCCCATCTGCACACTGTAGGGATTCTGTGGGTTACCCTTTTTAAGGCCAAGAGAAGCTTTTAAGGTTTATGCAACCTTGGAACACTCTCCACCTCAAAAGATTAATATATTTAAGGCAGAGATAGATGGATTCTAATTATGCAAGGGAACCAAAGGTTATTAGGGATAGATGGTAATGTGGAAGTTAAAACAGATTAGCGGTGATCTTGAATAGGGAGCTAGCTGAAGAACTTCTGTTCCTATTTCATATGTTCCTATATATCTCTGGTTTCTTGGATCCTGTTTGGAGCTGCGTTGTGGAGATCAGCGGGACTTACTGGATTATGCTGAACAGTTGCCTATGCAACACCCAAAATGGAGATCAATGCTCAATTTCAGAATTGACAGCTGTTGTACTGATGAGAGAGCACAAACTGATATTATATTTAACAAGGAAACTTTGAACTGCCTGTATTAATAATTACATGAAATCTTCTTAATATCATATATTACAGAATATCAAAATTTGGGATCTCCTCCCATCACATGGCGCAAGGTTCAAGCAAAGGAAAAGATCTATCATCTGCAAAAATAATGAGAATTGTTGCAGGTACATTCTCATGACACTTTGAAATATTGTTTTTGCCTTAAAAAGGCTCCCAGAATTGATCAAAAATAAAATGTTCAGGTCACACCAATAGAGGGGAAAAGGACAGTTGAGTAGAAAGAGGACCATGAGTAAGAATGCAGAGGGACGATGCAGTTCACAGTTGGAAGGAGACCCTCTGTACTGGAACTGTGAGTGACTTCAGAATAGAATTGCTGACCAACGATGTTATACGAGGGAGCAGGCGACCATTCCCAAAGGAGGCCGTGGAGTTGAGAGGCAGTTGAAGAATAAGAATAGAAAAGTGATAGTGCAAGGTTATATTGTCAGGGAATAGACAGACCCTTCCACAGTTTTGGCAAAGATCTGTAGCTCGGGTTGTGGGTGAGGTTGTTGACTTGCTTGCCAAGCTAGTTTGTTCTCGTTCAAAAGTTTCATCACCGTGCTAAAGTAGCTATCGTAACCCAAGCCAAACAGACACACACGGGTTTTCTGAGAGGCATGGCTCTCTACCCGTAATGCAATCAACAAACATAGAATTGGACCCCATATACAAACTCGTACAAATCAAAACCAGAAATGACACTACTCACCATAACGGACCAGACAATATAAATTCCAAGCGGAATAGAATAGCATCACTTCATCAGAGGCTCCACTGATGATCTCACCTAGCATATTGATGAAACGTCTGAACAAGCACAAGCCAGCTCGGTGAGTAAGTCAAAAACCAGACCCTTGACAGCCATGCACATGACTGCAATTTCAAGAACTGATGTTTATAGAATGAATATTGTTACTTTACTGTCAGACTTAATAGGCAATGTTCTGGATTATTTTGCACTGAACCACTTGAAGGAAGTACAAGGCAGGTCAATGAGTCATTTCAGGGCTGGAGCAGGAGGGAAGTGTTCAGGTTCTCGAGTGTTAGTGTGAGTCCAGTGGGAAGAGAAAAGACAGCCACAATCTGATTAATTTTGTTCTGTCATGCGATGTGGGTGTCCCTGCCAAGGCAAGCATTTGTTGCTATGCCTCAAAATGCCCTTGAACCAAGTGACTTTCTTGGCTGTTTCAGAGAGGTGAAGAAGCCACACACATTCTGGAAAAGTAAGGACAATAGATATCTAATGATCGAACAAAAGGAATATTTATAGCATGTGTCATGGTTGCCATTACTTTTGGTTGCAGGTTTTACTAATTGATTGAATTTAAATTCCACCAGCTGCTATAAAAAGTCATAGGTTAAAGTTTTTGAGAAGACTTGTAGCTTGAGTTGTGGATGGGACTGTTGAGTTGTTTGTCGAGCTGGTAGGTTGGTTTGCAGATGTTTCATGACCATTCTAGGTAACATCAGTGTGCCTCTGATGAAGCATTGTTGGTCTGTCCTGCTTGTTACTTATGTGGTGCTTGGCCTTGCTTCTGGTTCTGCTTCGTAGTGGTTGGTATATGGGGTCTATTTCCATGTGTTTGTTGATTTGGTTCCAGGTTGAGTACCAGGCCTGTAGGAATTCCCGTGCATGTCTTTGTTTGGCTTGCCCTAGGATGGTTATGTTGTCCCAGTTGAATTGGTGGCCTTTCTTTATCCGAGTGTATGAAAATGAGTGATAGTTGGTCGCGTTTCTTGGTAGTTAGTTGGTGCTCGTGTACCCTGGTGGCTAATTTTCTCCCAGTCTGTCCGATTGTAGTGTTTGTGGTAGCCCTTGCATGGGATTATGTAGATAATGTTGGTCCTGTTAGTTATGGGTATGGGATCCTTTGTTTTTGTCAGTAGTTGTTGTAGCTGAAGGTTAGTGTAGTACCACGATTCCTAGTGGTCGGAGTAGTCTGGTGGTCATCTCTATGTTCTTGATGTATGGCAAGGTGACTAGTGTATTCTACACGGATGTAATAGTTGAATGAATGGGAATCAGTTGTTGTTCTCCTCTTCCCTGGTTAATTTTATGCCGGTGAGGATGTTGTTGAGTTGCTGGGTTTCCTCCAGTTTTGTGCTCTTGATAGTAACTAAATGTGTCATCCACAGAGTGGACCCATAGTTTTGGCTGGATATTGGGAAGGGCTGTCCGTTCTAGTCTTTGCATTACTGCTTCAGCTACAAGTCCTGATATGGGTGATCCCATGGGAGTTTCATTGATTTGTTTGTTTACCTGGCCATTGAAGACAACAATAACCGGTCTAACACCCACAAATGGAGCTGCGTCAGAACTCTGTTCAAAAGAGCCATAACACACTGCAGCACCCTGAAACTGCGCAAAACCAAAAGAAGAATGCTTCCACAGTGTCTTTAAAAGCAATCGCTACCCAAAAACCATAGTCTGCTAGCACTTACTCAATAGGAAGACACAGCATGCCCGAATACACTAGTCATCTTGCCATACATCAAGAACATATCAGATGACCACCACTCTACTCCGACCACTAGGAATCGTGGTAGAGCACAAACCCACAGCTAACTATGACAACTACTGACAAGATCAAAGAATCCCATACCCACAACCACCTATGTAATATGTAAAATCCCATGTAAGGACTGCTACAAACACTACATCGGACAGACTGGGAGAAAAATAACTATCGGGGTACACCAGCACCAACTAGCTACCAAGAGACATGACCAACTATCACGCGTTTCTGTACAGTCAGACAAAGAAGGCCACCAATTCGATTGGGACAACTTAACCATTCTAGGACAAGCCAAACAAAGACACGCACGGAAATTCCTAGAGGCCTGGTACTCCACCTGGAACTCCATCAACAAACATGTGGATAAAGACCCCATATACCAACCACTACAAAGCAGAACCACCATATCAAACTGGACCACGTAAATAACCAGCAGGACAGACCAACAACGCTTCATCGGAGGTTCACTGATGATGTTACCTAGTATGGTGACGAAATGTCTACAAACCAACCTACCAGCTCGGTGAACAAATCAACAACCCTAGTCATAGAGTAGTTCGACATGGCAACAGACCCTTCAGTCCAACTTGTCCGTGCTGACCAGATAATCTTGTCTTGACCAAGGTGAGATTTGTACCTAGATTCCTGAAGTATTAGCCTGGGCCTCTGGATTACTAGCACAGTAACATCACCACCATGCAAGTCTCTAAGGCCACCAGCAACAGGGATTTCACAGTGTAGATGAATGAACCTATGACAAGGGTATTGGCTATTGTGACTGGAGCTTTGGAAGCATCCAGATTGAGAATAGAGAAAGGGATTCATAGAAATGTTGGAAATGAAACTGGAAATAGGAAGTGTCAAAGTATCCATTTCGGGACGCTGTGTAACTCGGGGAGGAAACTCTATTTAAAGACATTCTCATGCACTTTGAGCTTGACCATCTCCATTGTAGACTGTAATAGTTATAAGATAGTGTTTTGGGTCTCCAGAATCAGACTTGATTGTAATATTTTCAGTCACACCACATGTATCTGCAGAGCGGCCTGTGTACTACAAATCTTAGAATCATTGACTCCCTACAGTGCAGAATGAGGTCATTTGGCCCACCAAGTCTCCACTCTTCCTCAAAAGAGCATTCCACCCTATTCCCGGAACCCCTGCATTTACCATGGTCAATCCACCTAACCTGGATACCTTTCGACTGTAGGAAGAAGCCAAGAATCACCTGGGCGAAACCCCCCACAGACATGCAGCGAGCATGCAAACCCCACACAGTCATCAAGGCTGGACTCTAATCTAGGTCCCTCGTACTGTGAGGCAGCAGTGCTAACCACTGAGCCATTGTGCTGCCAATGTTTTTCAGCTTAAGTGTTCAAAATAACATCAAAGATTAGTTTATGACATAACTGTCTCTTTATTTAGTAACTTTCAAGAATAATGTACCTATTTGGTAAACTACAGACGGAAAGGTTAAAAATAGTACAGATATAAAAGTTAAAAGGACACCAGTCTGTTATAGCAGGCCTGTGGATCACTTGAGAATTTTCTTTTTAATATGAAAGCATTGAAAATTGAAGTAAGAATTGATCAGCTGCAAAGAATTACGTAGGGAGACAGTGGTGAAATGTGACGAGTAATCCAGAATCTCAGGCTGGTATTCTAGGTACATGGGTTTGAATCACACCATGGTAGATGGTGATATTTGAATAGAGTAGAAAGCTCTATAAGTTTGCTTTTACTTCACTAAGTTGTGGCCCTTCATAGACTCATTCAGCATAACTGTTCTTTTAACTTTCTTCTATAATATCTAACTATCTCTAATGGTGTGTCTCAAAGTTGTTCTTGTATTTCTGTCTTGCAGCCTGTCTTATATGGATCAAAACTTAGTGGCTGCTATGCTACCATTGATTTAATCATTATTCCAAAAAAAAAGCCAGTGAGGATGACGTTTCCTGTGGTAGCTCTGTCTCCTGTTTTCTTTGATTTGAATTCTTACACCTTCAGAAGGACCCATTTATGTTATCAAATAGCTAATCAAACTCTAAATATCTTGCAGCCTGTATTAAACGGGTTAACATTTAATATGGCTGCAATGTAAATGTTGGTTATACCAGCTGATGAATCAAATTGCAGAATAAAATCTGGCTTGGTGGACCACACATTTTAATTTTTGAAGCTGATTTAATATGGTGTATAATCACTGAACATATGCATATGCCAGACTGCAAATGCTTTTTACAACAGATCACTAAGTATACTGCACAAATGGAAAAATATATATACAAGACTGTTTTTTCTAAATTTAAGTTTCAACCTTTTACAAACAGTCAATCCCAGAAAAATACCATTTAGAAATATCTTCACTCTTTTTAGTTTCTTGGTTAACAGACACTATCCAATTCCTTTCCTTGGCCTGCTGAGATTTTTCTTTCTTTCAGAGTCTGGAGCTAAACTTGTCAATCTGATTAGTTGTTATTTTCCCTCAGCACAATGTCAACTTGATGTTTCACAGACTAAGACCACTTCGACCAGAATGACAGATTTCCCTGAAGACACTTCATCAATAGCAGTCAGGATCTGTTTTCTCTACTTGTCATCAA